TAGACAAACAAATTTTGGTTTAAAACTTTGTCCATAGACAGCTTTTGAAGAAATTAGAGTCACTTGAGAATTTCAATCAAAAGAAGTAGTCGCTTCTCGAGATATAAAATTAACAAAAAAAAAAAAAAAACAGACTTTCGTTTTTTTTTGATGTCGTATCATTGTTTTTGGGAATTTGATATCTTGAGAAAAAATTACGCTTCCTGGCTGAAGCTTTTAAAAGATTCTGATGACTTCAAGAGCTATTTATGAACAAATTTTAAAGACGAAATTCATTTATTCGGTATTTTTATAAATATTCGCTAAAAGTAGAAAAAAGAAACCTAGTGTAACGATCATAACTTTACAAGGACAGTGCGCAGCGACGTATCTTTTTAGGTTTTTTCTAGTCTCAACAGGTTCTACGTGATGACGGAAGTTTCATCTCAAATGCAAGGATCATCTCTGTCAGTTCCTTTGTAAAAGAACTCTATTAAAAAATATCAATACAGTTTTAATAAATGCTTTCAATTGATCAGCTAATGTTGCGACTAACTTTTGTCGTTGTCTTCGCTTTAATTATCTTGAGCTTTTAGTCCATGAATGTTTTCTGACTGTCCATTCTCGATATAGAAAATACGAACATTCAATGAATACTTTGCGAAAAAAAAACTCGTCAAGGGCTTCATAAAAAGTAGAACGAAGCCTAGCATTATTAGTTTATCATAATTTTGTCAACGTTATTGATGATAATAATAATACCAGTTTTTCAGTTCTTTGAAGCATAATTCTTATAATAACAAGTTATTTTATCATTAAATGCTTAGTATTATAAATGATATTATTAATTGATACGTTTGCTAATAAACTCATTGTAAACTAAAAAAAGTAAAGTGACATAAATTTGAATGTCATGACATTTCGTGTTTTGCTTTATTATCATTTAAAATAGAAAAACAACTAAAATTTTTAAATTCTTCATTATTTTTTTTCATTATCAAAAACAACAGAAAATTATCTCTTAAATGAAATCAGAGATTAAGAAAGAACGAGCAAATTGTATCCATTATAATATGAAGACATTGGTATAATACCAACTGAGTAAAAAAACAAAATTATAAAAATTGACGTATGTCATCGAGAACAGAAAATTTGCTCATTGGTTAGAGCGGCATTCCTATAAAACAACCATCTGTCATGGAAATCGGGTAAACTAAAGAAAGCTATTGGAAAATATCAATGAATCATTCAGCGAGAATGTTTGTTTGCCTTTGAGTCTTGGTAAAGTATCAATAAACAATCAATGATTTATCTAATTTTTATATCAACCGGAAAATTTTGCCGTACTTTTCAGTTTGCTTTAGGGCACACTTGATAGATTCTATTTCTCAGCATGTGATTTATGAATAAGAAAAACATTGAGTAAATATGGTATTTTCTAAAATATAGAAATTTGAAGAAAAGGTTTTTAGCATTAAGTGAACATCTTATTTTTTTTTTGTTTATGTCATGAATATTTTCTATTGGTGAATAAGATAATAAATTTCTTTTTTTTCTACGTAACAGAATATACTATTTCTTTTTCTTTGTTTTTTTTTTTCTAAAGAATTAACTAATTCTTAATTGTTTATAATAATAAAAACAAAAGCTTTAACAAAAGATTCTATTTAGATATTAAAAATATTAAAATAAAAAAAGAAGAGACGAACTTTCATTAATAAATAATATTTATTATGGTTTTTGATAAAACCCATTCTTTTGAATTTCTTAGCGAAAGCTTATTCTTAAATCCCTTTAAACAAAAAAAAAATATTTTCTTTATTTATATAATTCTATACGTGGATCAATAAAAGACGCTTGAAAAATTTACATATGTTAATAATTTACATGATTCTCTTTCAAATATTAATCATATATTTTCCAAATCAGTGAATTGCCTATCTTTTGTCTTAATAAAAATATTCCCTATTGAATTTCTAATAAGATTCATTACAATAAACCTTTTACCCTCTGGCAATCATTCAATACATTGGGTGTTAAGTTAACCTTGAAAATAGATTAGACAAGTGGTAATTATGACAGCAGTATAATTAAATCTCTTGACAAAGTTATTTCATTGTGCAGATGTAGATTGGATCAAATATGACACACTACATGTTGAATGACATAAAAATTGAATTTATTGTTATTGATTCTTTTATGGCTTATGGCACTTATGTTGTTATTTTATTTGTATAAAGCTGTAAGCGAACATATTGTGGGTTATTTTTGGATATATGATTCATTTGGTACAATAATATATGAATAGATTTCAGATTGAGAGATAATATATGCAGATTGAAATTAGGTCATTCATTTCCACGATCGTGTCTTTAGTTTCTTTTTATAATATAGAATCATTGATTCTGATTCCAAATCAGTTATTTTTATTGATAAGTACTTGTCCAGAAGGAAGATTATAATAAAGGCTTATATATTATTGATAAAAGATTATTTAGAAACATCCATGTAATAAATTTTTGATCGACTATTAGTTCTAATAAAGTTTCAAACATGAAAATCGTGTTATTTTATGAGTTTATATTAAAAGCAAAATAAATCTAGAAAAATCATTTCTTATTTTACTTACTTTGAATGAGTTAAAAATGCTCCGAGATGTCATGAAACATGTTGTTGTCACACCTGTAATTAAATGTTTTCTAAAAACTATGCTGCAAATTGATCACATCGATAGTAGTGCAGTAAAGTCTTCAGCTAAGCTGAACTTTATCAAATGAAGTAATAAGATGAAAATTTTTTTAATATATAAAAACGTAATAATAAGTTTTGATCATTAACATCATATAAGATTATCATGAGTTTCCATAACTACAGAAATTGAATTGTTCATACTATCTACAAGCTCGTTGACTAAGTTCGACGCTAAAAACTCTTCATTCGTGCTTTGTTGCCGAAATGTAAGATTGATAAATTATCAGGTTTTTCATGCTTAACTTTATTCTGATGAGGTGTCTAATATGGTCAATGAGTACAAGATCGGATGACATCGGTGGTCAATCAATTTTTTGAACTCGATTATTGATTTTCTAATTAATTGAAGTTTCGATGTTTATTAGAGGATGCTGTCTGATTGCAGTTTTCACAGTGGCAAATTGGTACCGTATTGTTTTCCATACTGTTAGCAAAAGACTGCACTTGCAAATATCATGCAGTAATCTCGTGTATGGATTCTGCTTAAAAAAGCTGTTAGCGCAATCCCTTGCGGGATTAAAAATGTGAAACACGATGAATCTATTGTTACTAATTAAATGGAAATCGTTTTGTTCTATTTCTTTGCGATACATTTGTAGCTAACTGTTTATCTGATGCTTTAGAACTACAGTTTCTCTGTCATGGTCTGTGATGAGTACGGAGATTCTCTGTCACAGTCAGTGGGAAAGGGGGGGAGAGGGAGTGGGTGCAAAATTTCTACCCTATAACACTTCAACACTCCTTTCAGATCGTGTTTCACAATAGACAACATGACTGAAGCCATGACTATGATAGAATGCTCGACGTTTGTACGATCTTGTTTTTTTTCTTGGCAAGTTTCAAACTAAGCCATTGACAAAATTCAGTCGAATGATGGTCTTATCAGAAAAGATCACTTGATTTCAGTTTGTCGGTTTATGATCTTGAGCTCATTTTAAATGATTTGCTCGATGACGGTCTATAATCCATAGCTTCGAAAAGGTCGATTGTATTTTACTCCTACTTCGTTTAAGCGTCGTGTATGTTCTGTTAGCGAAACAATTTGTTGACTCTGTTTTGAGTTTATTAAACGTGGTCGATTTGATCGAGTTGAATCTGCCAAGTCATTTCACTGTTTTCATCATCATTATCCCACAATACATTGTTTTTGTCACATGTTGCTTATTTATACTAATCTTGCGGAAAGTTTTACTAGGGCGAAGAATTTTGTCTACTGCTGTTTGCATTAACTTCAACAGTATTAAAATGATCAGTCAGTGTAAGTAAATAAAAAAAAACTAGATTATTTTACTTTTTTGAAAACATACTTTTTTCCAACTCATATTTCATAGCCAAGTAATTATGAAAAGAAGTTTCATTTTTTTGAGTTTTGTAACTTATTGAAGTCTTTACATGATGTTCGAGAACAGCTTCGATCCGATGGTTTATTACTCCAAATACATAGATTTCATGAATGGGTCAAAAATGACTCAACAGGGAGATAAATGGTTAATAAACAACACTTTGATTTCGAAAAAAAACTTCTAAATAACATTTACATTTAGAGTAACTAAATGCAATTCTTCTATTTAATCTTTAGACATAAAGAAAGTATTGAAAAAAAAACGTTTATTATATTTTACAAAGTGTTTATCATCATCTGATACTTCTTTTTCTTGTCCAAAATATAAATATAATCTTAAGTAAGACAAAGCAATTACAGTTGTAGCTTTTCCGATGAGAAAATTATAGTCATTCTATTTTGAAAGTGAAATGATGTTTCATTTGAAGTATTATATTGATACATAAAACTGAAGATCAGTTTAAAATATAGTTAAATTTGTTATATATATATATATATATATATATCGCTCTCTCTCTCTCTCTCACTCGCTTTCTTAACGAAACTGATTTATCATTATTGAAAAAAGATTATTAAAAGTTTCGAAATTAGTAAAGTCATTATTATCAATCTCAATCTTTCTGATATTACTCGATTACAATTATCAGTAATCTCTGCTCGTTATTCGTAAAATTGCATGCAAAAAAACGCCGCTTTTGTTTGTTTCATACACTAAAAGCTAGAAGTGATTTGAGACAGATGATTTCCTAAGGAATCACCCATTGATCAAAGGTTTACGTTCAAATAGTATACTGACGAAGACATACACCCACGCACGCACACACACACACACACATAAAAGAAAGTGAGAACGAATACATATTCGAAAAAAGAAGAGGAAAGAAAAAGTAAAACAAGAAAAAAAAACGTGTTTTAAATAACAAGAAAATCAAGTTGAAGGAAGATTTGTTGATGAAGGTGGTTGTGGTGGTGGTGGTAGTGAGGTAGTCGATAAAGGCGGTTGTTGTGCAAACGATGAAGGGAGCGATGATACAAAAGCCATTGGTATCGATTGACTAGACGTTATAGACGATGAAGGTATCGAAGCTGTACCCGTTATGGTTGTTGTAGGATTGGATGGATCATTAGCAGATGATAAACCAGGATATAATGGTATATATTGAGCATAGATTTCACTAGGTACATGCTGACGAAGAAATGTATTTTCATGTTCAACACTATTCACTTTATCAGTAAGCGTTCGAATTTGTTGACGTAATTCGGTTACTTCTTCACGGACAGCAGATAACAAATGCATTTTAACAAGATCCTGAAAATCAAATCAAATCGAATATTCATTTTCAATCAGTCTTGCCAAAATCATTATTTTTTTTTTGTAACATAACACAGTATGATATGAAATAACTGTGAGATGATTTCATAATTTTCTAATTTTATATAATTATTTCTCATTCAACATGATTTGAATAAATTAAATTCGTCCGGAAATGATTATTTGTAATTTGAATTCTGATCACTTTATAATAATATGTTCTTCAAAGGTTCTTTTTTTTTGTCCTGAATTGTTTTTTTCGTACATGTTTGATAATAATCTCTGGATGCGATGTCCCCACGAGGGATATTGTCACAATTGATTGATTACTTTTCAATCGAGATCAAGTGTATCATGTAAACTCTCATGAACTATAAATACTCTAAGAAGAGTTCAAACACTTACAAAAGAGCTACTCGAACTGATCCTCGCTGTTTGAGCTCATATTAAGTTCACAAAGACGTCTCAATAAGACTTTAGAAAATTCTAAAAAGATTTTTATGGAATTTTTAATATGAAATTTTGGTCATAGATAGACCAGATGATGCTTGGAATGCCCTGAAAGTTTCAGAATATTCCCAGACACATCAGTCCTGTCTATGTATAAAACTTCAGGCTGATATTCAGTTATTTGGTTTTCCAGTAAATACCTAAAGCTGGATCAAACATTTAGTCAAATGGTCATAACTTGAATCCAGAGACCTATGAACACAAATCTCTTAGGATTTCTCTAGTTTTACCAAGGTCTTTTTATGAATATGATATGAACGTAAATGGTGAGTATCAAGTCAGGTAGTTCGATTGTTAGCTTATTACTATAGAGATATTGCATTTTTTATATCAATGCTGTAGTCCCTCTGAAGAACAACAGGAAAAACAAATATTCGAGTTTCTATTTGAAACTTTTCATAAAGACAGATCTTAATAAGAATAGTCTATTGTGAAAATTTTAAATCTTTTCATTGTTTCTATTCTAAGAGACAGTATTGGTGAAAGCATTTGTTTTACATCGTTCAAAGACACACCGATAGATGCGATATTCGTATTTTAGGATAGGAGTAAATTAAAGGAGCTGAAATTTCCACAATAAACTGCTCTCATTCTGATCTGTCTCTGTAGAAAATGTCGAGTCACGATTCGAAAAGAAATTTTCTTAGTGTTTTTTTAGAGAAACCATGATATTCACTTGAAAAATACTGTTAAAATGTAGTACTTCCACAACAATAAGCTAAAGACTTGAGCTCTTTTCAGATTGTTCATATCTCATTATGGTTTACATGGCACACATAATTCTGAGCCCAAAATGATTAATCAGTTAGATGACTTCTTTCGTTAATATTCTTCTCTATTTCGAGTATATACAACCAATATTTCATATATTCTATAAATGAAAATCTATTCTATGAAATATTACTTACCATGGCTGCTGAAATTTTGTTGTCAATATCCGTTGTACTAAAATAAATAGAATGGAAAAAAATCAATAAATGCACCCCCCCCCACTAGAAAGCATATATCATGCTGATATAGATTAATTTGAGCAAGAGAAGAAAAGCCAAAAATAAGAATTTTTGAGCATGAATAATAATTGAAAATGTTCTTTTTTTTTTTTAATCGTTTATTTGATTTTCTTTTCTTGAGCATAGTATTTAGCCATGATAAGAAAAAGATATAAGCGTGAGTATCATTCGATCGATTAATACGGAATCATTTCTGTATATTTCTTTTATCTGATGTGTATGTGCTTTTTTTTTTTTTTATTCAAGTATATTAATGCATATGCAATGTAATATAAATATGCTTATCTTGTTTTGAATACCTGCGCTGTCGCCTATTTCTTAAACGCACTCGTCTCTCTGATAAACTGAAGCTTGAAAATTGGCGAAAGCAGGAAAAAGAATAACAAAAACAATGAAATAAACAATGATTTTTTTAACTTACTTATTTTGTTTTGTTGGGGTTGTTAGTTCTTTAAGAATCTCGTTAGCTATTTCTGTATTTTGACCACTTTCACTATTTAATAAGCCCATTGCAGCAGCAGCTGTAACAACTGCAGTTTGTGCAGCTGTTTGCGTTAAATTTAATGATGGACCAGCTGTTCCATATGGCCATATGTCATTTAATGAAGCTGTCGGTGCTTTATTTGGACTAGTCATATTACTTGGATTATTTGTTTGTATTGTTATAGGAGACATAAGTGTTCGTGATGGTTGTTGAATATGTGATAATGAAGGTGATGTTGATAATAAATCAGTAATATATGTAGGATTTGTTGCTGTTGTTGTTTTTAGTGTATCAGTATTAGCATTATTGCTTATTATTGTAACAGGTTTTGTTTGAGCTATTGCATTAGTACCATTTGTTTGTGTTGTTAAAAGTTTTGTTGGTACTGATGTTGTTGTTGTCGTTGCTTTCGGTATAATTGGTGGTTGTAGAGAAGTTTTTGTTGCTGCTGTATCTTGTTTAGGTGAAGTAAGAATTGGTGCTTGTTGTGGTTGTTGTTGTGTAGATGGTACTTGATGAGAGTGTATTTGTTGTTGTTGTTGTTGTTGTATGTCAGTAATATTGTTTGGAATAGCTTGGGCGAGTGATGTTGGCCGTGCTGTTGGTGGAATAATTGTTGATGGCTGTGCAGCAGAATGATAAGTTGGCATAGTTGCATAAGGAGAAGCAGTAGTTAATGGTGCTTGTGAAACATATGTTGAATGAGGATGTTGAGGAGCATATATAAATGGTGCAGTCGATGCTGCAGCTATTTGAGCATTTTGTAAGTGATCAGAAGTCGGATTCGGATATAGATTAGAAGGGATCACTGGATTTTCACTAGTTCCATCTGGAACTAAAAGAAAGAATAAAAATCAAACCATTTTATAATATAGATTTTAAAAGACTAATATACAGTAGGTACTAAAATAAGATTTATTTTCAAGTTTTATTTTTCTACTAACATAATCAATAGAAAGAATTTGAATAGAACAAATGATTTTCAACAAGGATATAAGGAAATCAAAATCATTATCAGATTTTAAAAAATATGGACTCCGAAAAATCATAATGTTTTCAATATGATTTTTATTTCAACTATATAGCATGAAAGAGTAAACAATTCTCTAAAAAATCAAACATCCATGAGTTCTTTACAACGTTTTGTAGTTGAGATACAACAATTTGATTAAAGATGAAACAATGACTATTTTACAAGAAGTAAAGAGAATAGCTCCTAAAAACTGGGAAATGAAATTTTCTTTTTTTTTTTTCGAAGATAGCGACACATTTTAAAGATACCATTCTAAGTTGATTCGATAGAGAATTTTTCGATTTACAAAACTATTGAATTTGTTCTTTTACTAAGTTTCTTTTGTCATAGAAAAAGTGAAAAGATTGATGAAATAATTCTTAAAACTATCTTTAAATCACAGTTCTGTCGAAATTTGAAATATGCTGCAAGATACATAGTGAAATATTACATCTCGCAATGTTGCACAATACCATAAAAAGTAGCCTAGGCTGGCTGAGTGGCATCGCCATCTGACTCTTGAGTCAGATTCTAGAGTTTCGATACTCTGCCTGAGCACTATTCTGTGTCATCGATGATCAAAGCCAATGATCTTCGCGCCACAACACTAATTGATTACTTTATGCAAACTGTTTATTGATCGACTCGACTGTTTCTCGAACTTGATTTACACTAATTACTTGTAGAAAACGCGAAAGCGATTAGAAACCGGGACTTAGGGTCTAGTTTCTGTACTCATACAAATTGAATAAAAATAAAGCACTTATTAAAAAAAAAAAAAAAAAAAAAAATACCATAAAAAGTCATTTAGAAAACGACATAAAAGATTCTTTAGGGAAGTTAAATTTAACAGATCTTTGTTATCCGGCGTAAATGTTACATCATTTTGTCTAGAATGGAATTGACCATCAGATAATAAAACATTAAACCATTCATAGAACACGTCAATTTTTTGAAAACAATAGACCACCAGAGGTTCATTAGAAACTTTTTCTACTTGAATGACATCATCAGAAGGCTTGAAAATATGAACTTCGCTATCTATGAATGCTAAATGCTTTATATTTAATATCGAACCTGTTGAACATAATTTTGCGTAAAACGTTAAATGTGTGCAAAAAATAGTAGGAGATCGTGTTGAATAATGAAGGAGAAGTTAATTTTTCGTCGTCAAGAACAATTTATTAAAAAAAGCCGAAGTTCACATTATTTGTTGGCGATCCATTAGTATAAAACATACGACTTCTAAGATTTTAGTGAGATTACTATATCTCAGATAAAAAAGAAACGCTTCAGAGAGCTTGTCAACATCTCATTTTGCAGACAATTATTTACTTTATCGTTCTATGTCATCGCCTAAATGAAACAATATTTACATGCTCTAGGTAATGAAAAACTAGGCTTTTTGGAAATCTTCATTTTGTCTTATATCCTTGTTGGAAATCATTTTATCTAGTCAAAATCTTTCTAATGCTTACGACAATGAAAAAAAAAATCATATTTAATAATTTTTTTTGTTTTTGTTATCTCTGCTAATAAAACGTTTCAATATACCTGTTTCCGGAAGTCGTAAAGGTTCACCGAGATTTCCAGTTGGTAATCGAGATGTTTGTTGTTGTGGTGGTGGCATTGTTGGAGGTAGAAAAGAATTTGTAGCAGCTAAAGCAGCCCATTGAGCAGCATATGGTGAATAAGGTGGTAGCAATATTTGATAATAACCAAATTGTGGATGACCTGATAAAATATACGCTTGATTTGGTGCTGCAAGATTAGGTAATGCTGTCGGTGGATAAGCAGAAAGAAGACCAGCTGGTGGTGGAACATTAGCTGCTGGCATAACTGTTGTTGGATTGTTCATTGCTAATCGTTGTTGTTGTTGTTGTTGTTGTTGCTGTTGTTGTTGAAAAGCAGTTGCAGCTGCAGCAGCAGCTGACTAAAAAAAACAACAACAAAATTTCATTTTTGTTAATGTGAAACAAAAAAGCAAAATTCTTACAGCAGCTGTTGCAGCAAGTGTTGCTGATGAAGTAACATTTGAATCCGCATGTACATTGGGTGGTATATTAGATGGTATTGTTGTTATTGGTGCTGTTGCTGGCATAGTTGATGTATTGGAATTGTTTACAGGTTCATTTTCAATAGAATTAGTCACCGGTGGATTATTTAGAGTTGCAATATTTTCAGGCGGTTCATAATCATTTACTTTCCAACGACCGCGTACAAAATTTCTATCAACACGAATCATTTGAAAACGTGATGGACATACAGATTCATCAGTAGTTGTAGTAGTAGACGATGATGCTACTGGTGGTGGAGGCGGCAGTTGTTGACCAACAATAGAAGTTGTTTCATCATGAGCATTAACTGGATTTGTTGGTAATTTATCAACATTAACAACATGAAATTTTCCAATTAATTGTTCATTATTTTGTGTCGAATGATTTACTGTTGATGGACCATTCATAATTCTTTTGTTTTTCTATTCTGTTGTATTCACTTCGCTTAATAAATAAGAACTAGATTTACTGATAATCGTATCATACCGGAGGTTTTTGCTGATTCTTTTTTGTCTACAAAAAAACAATATCCATTCAAAAAAAAAAAATTAATAAATATAGAAAATTAAATGCTTAAATTTATTATGAAAGAAAAAGAAACACACATATTATTATAGAACTAATCATTCTAAGAGTAGAATATTATTAAATTGTGTAGAAAATATTTGCTTGATTTTATCTAAATGAAAAGTTAATACGATTGTTAATGTAAAAATAAGAAAAAACAAGAAAATATTTTACCACTTATTTCTTTTAAATTTGCATTTTTTTGGTTTATAATTACTAATAATTCACGCATATCGGATCGTTTAGCAACAATCCATGGATCATTTTCACGTTTAACCATTACTTCACCAGACGGATGAAACCTTAAAATATTCACGTTTGCAAATTACAAATAATTGAATTTCTTTTCTCTTTATTTTTGATTGTTTAATTAGAATTTCGAGATTTTTTAATGATTTTTTTTGTTTCATATGATATGAAAAAATTCTGAAGAGTATTAAATAATTTATGTCTTATATTCTAAGTTAAAGATTGTGACTTATGATTAGAAAAACAAAGTTCCTATAGATGTATCATACCATTGTAAATCTTCAGCAAGTGTATTCATAATACCACAAATAGTATTATTTGGTTCTCGATTCCAATCCACAGTTGATGAATGTGCCATATTCATTTTATTAAAATAAACATTTCGCACATTAATATCAATTCTATAAATAAATAACTATAGATATAGTTTTTTTTTATAATTTTATTTTAATTTAAAATACATACGTAGGATTTTTTTTTCGTGAATTTTCTTCAAAACATGGTAAAATTTCTTCGAAATCTTTTTTTAATAATTCAATTTTTGATAAAGTTTTTTCATTGTTAGATAACTCTTCATCTTTAATAATAATAAATATATATATATATATAGACATATACATACATATTTAATAAATTTTTACCATTTTGAAAAATACCAAAAATAGTAAATAAATTTAAATTCATCACAACTATTCGATGTGATGTAGCTGGATTTCCCAAAAAAAATTCTTGACTAATTAAATCTGTTGATATTGTCATTTCATCAGATGGATTTGCACTTGTATCGACTGTTAAATATCTATAAAAGATTATATATGGATCAATGCTTAAAAGAAAGAAAGATCACGATTACACATATGACAAGTTAACCTTCTGATTTCTATGACGTACTTTTTATCATAGGACAACCAATAAAAAATAGGAAATAAAATCATTTTTCATTTTCTAATCTTTATATGATTGGAATTAATATCAATCTTGAAGTCCCAGGAGATTTTTTTTCTTTTTTAGAATTATAAATCACCTTGAAAAGAAGAAAAAAAGTTTATTTATTTTTTTTTTGTCTTAATCGCTTTACTATTGAAATTTAAAACGATTTATATTTGCAATATGATCCGAACTTCTCTAACGACCTTTTTTCTTTTTTGTATTTACTAATATACATAAAGCGTAGAATGGATGTCCTTATTCGTTGTATTTAATAAATATTCTCGTAGAACACACGTTCTCTATATTAATTCCTACAACTCATATTATTAAGAAATGTATTCTATCATATTTGTGTTACGTACAGATTTTCGAAACAAAAGTAAATTTATTCATCTATGGAAATTTTTATTGAAAGTAAAAGTCAAAAACTTATAGTCGATTATCAAGAAATTTCTGCAATGATCAAAATTTTCTGGAAACAGGTATATTTTCGAAAGGTTCATTTCAATTGCTTTAATGATAATTACATTAATTTTCTAACTTTCAAATTTGTATAGAAATCATTTCTGAAATTAGATATTTTATGAAGAAAATCTACTTTTATAGAAGTTTGAACACTACTATCATATTCGACAGTCAATTAATTGTTAATCATTAAAAAAATAGTGGATTTACGAAGTAACTTCTCCAAGTGACACTCGCTATTCGAACTTATATTGAACCTACAAACAAGTCTTAGGAAGATTAGCAAAAACTTAAAAGAGTTCGTCTTCATGGACTTGGATCGCTGGGTTATATGATTAGTTTAGTAGATTTTTGTTGCTAAAATTTCTTTTTCTATAGATAGATGTAATAACTCTTAGAATATCTTGAAAGTTTCAATTGAAAAGAATGTTCCTTTGTCACAAATATCAAGATCACTTGAAAATTTAATACTTCGATGAAGAAACATTTTCTTCGAGTGAAATTTTTAAGATATTATAACAATCATCAGATCTATCTATGAACAAAAGTTTGAATCAAAATGTCATGGTATTCGGCTTTTTCAAAAAATATAAATCGAAAGTTCAGTAAACGAGTTATAACTCGACGCCGAACCCTTTTAGGCTTTTTGCTATTCTCACTGAGACCTACCTGTGAATCGAACATAAGCTCAAACGATGGATATCACTTGAAATACTTTCAACACAAGCAATCAACTATCATGATGAAACTATTTTATGATCAATAGGATATCTAGATATATAACTGATTGTCATACATTCATTTTGTCTATGAATAGAAAAACTACTATCTGGATAATTAATATAACAATTGAAAAATTACTTTTCATTGATTTTTATGTTTTTTTTTCGTAAGCTATTCTATGAGTATAATTCTTAGTTTGTTACTAATTTCCTTTGTTTCTTCTAATATTGAATCGATCTTTCGTCTTAATAATTCAAGTGATTTTCCCATATAAATTTATTGCTTAGATCATAATAAATGTACTATTTCATGTTTTTTCATGATTCAAAATATCTTATTCTATATAATCATTTTGAAGAGCGAGTTTTATTATACTTTTCTTTACTCACGATAATTCTACAAGAATATTTTATTATATAAAATAAGTCAAGACCTTTGCTGCCTATGCTTTTTATATGTATTATGTTAACTGTATATAATTTGATAGAAACTTTGTTTTTTTTTCGCATATACATTACAGAGAAAATATAATTTATAATATTGATATGTTAATTTTCCTTTTTTACCTGATCGTAGATGTATTTGGTAATGTTTTAATTTGTGACCAATAATGAAGTCGAAAAAATGAATAGATTATACTAGTTTCATCTTGATTAAGACCACTCCTTAAATATATATATATATTAAAAATAGTTATTTGACACAGAAATTTTTATTTAATATACCATATAAGTTGAGTTCTATATAGAAACAATGTTTCTTTCAATGATGTAAAACGTAATTCAAATCGTCGTAAAATTGATTGAATTTTTATATAGAGTAGTTTGTCAACTGGAAAAAATTGTACACCAAAATATGAAGAATCAATTGTTATATCAGTTATCATTCTATGTAAATGATATTGAATAAACTAAATAAAATAAATTTATTTAAGAGTACAACAACAACAAAGCAAATTCTAGAATTTATCATGCAAAATAGATGAAGTTTCTATAAATTTTTAATATATCAGTTCAAAAAGTCATGATGAATAACCATTTTTTTCAGTTAAACATTATTCTAAGGTTGTTTCACATCTATAAAACTTTATAAGATTGATATTAAAACTATTTAGCAAGTATCAATCGGTATTAATATTATATATAGAAAATTCTTTTTAGTATTATGATAGTCGATATTTTTTTTTTGTTTTATGTATGTAACCTTGATTTGTCTCATGGATAATTGAAATTTCTTAAATTAGTAGTAATGTTTTAAAAGTTTACTCGTCACAAACTTATTAACATATACAAACACAAGGTACTAAGTGCATTGATAAATTTTGCAATTTACAAAATACTTCTAATTTTATTGTCGTAAAGTTTTATAGATAAAACAACATCATAAAAAAATGTAACATTGAATAAGAGCATTAGTCATGACTGTCGAATTGCTATAATTAAAAACAAAAACAACCTTAGGAAGTTACTCTAATATGTGCCGTCAAAAAAAAACATTAATGAAATAATTTTATATTTGCATTACGAATACAAAAAACTAGATCATTCATTATGACCCATCTGTTATATATTTTAAACATAAAATTATTTATCATAAGGAAAATCTTCAAACATAACCGTAGATTAAATCTTCATAGGAAATTAATTTTGTATTTTATTCTTTTTCTTCTCTTCTATCAATATAGTACTCCAAACATAAACCTTTTTACCTTATTAAAATATTCTTCAAGTACATTTTTTAATACTTCTATATCATTATGTTGAACTAATGCTGACATTGTACCATGTTGTAACTTGATAAATTTACAAAAAAAAAAAAAATCAAAATATTTCATTGTTAGTTTTATATATTTTTTGTTTTTTGATTACTTACAATAAAATATCGATAAGACATTTTTAAAATTGATAACATAAGTCTATCATTAATATGTTCATCACAATATTCGATAAGTAATTTCTCATTTTTTTTTCGTTCAACATTTGGAACATGAAGTGTCTTAAATAAAATGCAACAATAAATATTGAATTTTGTTTATTTTTTTTTTACCATAGCAAGAGATATATCATTTTCAACTTTATAAAATAAAAGACGAGTCTTTTGTAAATGTACACATTCACATGGATCATCAAAAGAAAATGTTCTTGAAAAAATAAAGTTTTTTTATTTTTTTTTTTATTTTATAATATTAAATATACTCGGTAAATTTAACTAAACCTTCACAATAACCAATTGTACGTATTTGACGATCGATATCTACATTTGATGGATAATAATAAAGAATTTTTCGATGTTCCTAAATAATTATTTATTATTAAAATAAAAGAAAATATATGATTTATTTTAAAATATCAAACCTGTCCTTCTTTTTCACATAATAATGGACAAAAAATAAAATAATCAACAAGATAAATATTTGATGAATTATGTTCATTTGTTGATGTCATTGAATGTTATTTATTTGTATTAGTACAATTCGTTGCTATTTTGACTCTCAAGAGAATTCAATCATTAGTGTTTCTTTCTTTTTTTTTTTTTTTTTTTTTCAAAAACAACACTTGGACTTTGTGTTCATTTTTTATGATTGGATATTTAAAATAAGAAATAGAAACTATAACATACGCCACTCGAAGGAAGTTGAATTCATTGATTATTAACTACATCTATCGAATTGAAATTTAAAAAGTTACTTCAATGATGTTCGTTTTGATTATAAAAAAATTTATCTTGAAATTTTAAGGAATATTTTATCAAATATCATAAATAATTATTATAATATTTATCATATTATCAATGGAAAATAGATTTCATCAATAAAAATCTTTCATTCATTCTATGTGAGATTGAGTTTGAATGCTATTTTTGGAATGTAGAATTTCATCTTCAATGTCAGTACTCGAAACAAGTTATTTAGAAATTCTACTTGAGTATAATATAATAATAGACATTTTGCTTGAATTGCTCTTGAATATTTATTATTTATGGCTTCTATTAGATACAAGAGTATATGAACATTATCGATATCAACTATTAATTTCGTTATTATACATACAATAATATACGTTGATACTCTGACTACAAATCTTATTACTATTCTTCTCATATATTTCAATAATTTTCATAAAACTTATGTGAGAATTTCTTATAAAAAATTTTCATATCCTAAACTAATTTGTCGAATGAATGCTTTCCTATTGATAATATACTTTATTTACAAATAGCTACGATTACTACGCTCGTATTTACTGAAAATAGAAAAACAAAGGCATAACCACGTGTGTATTAACGTGACAAATACTTGGAGATGACCTTTTCCTAAGTGCAAAACAAATATTATTAATATTTTTTGCATCAGACAATGATCTAAGAACTGACATCGATCGAACATGCGTAAATGCATGATGACTAATCAATCACGTTATCTATTAAAGTCACATTTTTTTTATTACGTTAAAAAAAACTAACATAAACTAAAATTAAATGAATACAAAATTCTGAACTGATATATTTATTAATAAAAATAAAAATAAAAGATATGAACTATTTATCAACTAATTTTCTTAAAATTTATTTTCATTCTGATAGTTTTATGTTTAGTGAATACTTGACAAATATATCTTCATTTCTTTTCTTTTTATTGTTGATCATAAATTTCTTTAATATGATTTTGATAATAGAGACTATTCATTTTTACATACTTCTTCTATGCTATAAAACTTCTGAGATTCTATATATCAACATGATCAATTGTATTTTATCTACTTGTCATTTATTGAGATAAATTTTGTGGGTTGTATATATATATATACACATATATTTTAAACTGTTGAATAAGAATTCTTAGTAATGAAAAATAATTTAATAGATCGATTTCGACGTTCAAGTTCCTATATAGAAGTATTATCAAGAGAAAGAATAGGACGTTTGAAACGTGGATTTTCTTTAGAAACATCATCACTAGGAAATGATGATGTTATTAATAGTTTTCAAAATGAACAGTTAAGCCAAGTAATTAATAAACTAAAGTATGTAAATAAGTTTTATTTATTCTTTCTTTTTTTTTTTACATGAAATGATTTTCGTAATTTATTACTTATTTAAAAGAAAAGAAAATGAACATTTACGTTTGGAAAATTTACTTTATTCACGATATTTACGACGTGTTAATAGTTCAAATGTTATGGAAACATATGATCAATATGCAAGTGAAAATAAAATTATTCAAAAAGAATTATCTATTAATTCAAATAAAAATGTTGTTCATAGTAGATTACCTAAAATAGCAAGACGTTTATCTCGTAATAAAATGCAACTTTTCTTTTTTTTTTTTCTTATTGTTTAATTTCATTTATTTGAATTGACATATTTTTTGTTAGTGGAAAAAAGCTTGGCTGGTACATCTAAAGCAAAATCATTATGGAATAAATTAATAACGAATTCACATGAAGCTATTAATACAGTACGTCTTTTACGTATTGAACAAGAAAAATTATCGATTGCTGCATATGAAATTGAACATACACGATTAGATTGGGAAAGAATGAAAGTTAATTGTGTTTTAGAATTAGATCAATTGGAAGTAAGTTTAAAAGAACCTCATATAGATATATGACAAAAACGAGACATAATCATCTTCGATTTGATTTTGATATTTTATTTGAGATTATTTTTTATAACAAGCTTTTGTACTATGAAAATATAATAGTAGACGAAAGTCGTTGTCTCAGCCGATCTCAACTATTGTATATGATGAAGGTCTTAAAATTTATGTACACGTACTTTATCGAGAATGTAGGTTATTGGCATTGCGACGTTGTTATTGCTTTATCACAACGATAGCTATGATGGACGGCACGTATTTTTGCTTTGTCTTTACTAAAGATAATTCTTAATATTTTTACAGGTGACTGAAGTCTCATTTGTAGTATTTCTTCGTCCAAAAGTTAATTTTATTTGCTGGAATATTGATGTATTTGGATCCTTGCAACTAAAAATATAATCATCTATGTTCGATTTCTCTTTAATGCAAGATTCTCTTCTGAAACTTCTAGTGAAAGCTTCTCAAAAATACAGTAGATAGTTTCTCTACACAAAAATGATCACAGTAAAATCAACATAATATTAGAGAAGATTAATGAACTACTATGAAATTAATGATATAAATAGCTGGAACATAGTACTACATATTGAGAAGACAGTTGACATAGAATACTCTTGTTTTTACAAAAAATAAATGTCATCTATAATAATTCTTGTTGTAATTAACCAATAAGAGCATTGAAATGCGCATGTCCTACATTCTGGGTGAAGTACGTCTGCACAAATTTTCTAATTTTCAGCATATAGAATGGTTGAGATCAACTGAGATCTGAATCTTTTATCCATTACTGCATGTGAAAATTTGATTCTTTTAATTCAGACTTAAATAAACTTAATTAGTTAATTAATTAAAATGTAATTAGTGAATAACTCTCTAAGCTTTAGACAGAAAAGTTCAATAAATAACATGATAGACTCTATGCTACAAACTCTGTCTATGATGCAATTTTCAATAAGTCCGAATTTAAAAAAAATGGTCTCTCAAAAACTAGTTTACCAAGGATCTATTTTTGTTTGACTTCCAAGAAGAATTTGTAGCATTTAGAATTGGTTTTTCTTAATTTTTACTCATGCACGTCGCTAATAAGGTAAAACTCAGTTTTTTGAAAAACCTATGTATGTTAAAAAAAACTTGACATAGACATTTTCTAGTTTGAGAAGTCCTCTGCAAAATGCACGCGGAGAAAACCTTTACCTTTTCTTGGGTCAAGTAGCTTATGCTGGTGTTTCAATAATAATTTCATAGAATCAAAGTTTATGGAATTGATTTTTTCAGAGTATCTAAAGTAAAATCAACATACATCTATTTCATAAAAATCAGTTAAAAAATGCCCAAGTTTAGAGATATAAGCATTTTTCTTTGGCAAAAACATGTCACTAACGAATGAAATTGCTTATATTCGGAATAAGTTATAAGAATAATGCACATTTCTATGAAAGTATGAATGAGTAAATTTCAAATTCTGAGATTAAATTTTTCGAATTACACAATGGAAATAAACTGACGAAGTTTATTTTTCGAAATTCAGAAAGCGAATTAGATTTTGATGATTGAATCAGACGACATTAACTATGGAGATTTCAATTAGAGATTCGATAGCAGTTCTATTCATGTATGCAATAAATTACCGAATGCTATACATAAATCTTGGTATTACTAGATATGAAAAAATACTTAATAAGTATATGACTACTATTTGTCTCAATGTGCTTGTCCAATAACACAATGACTTTAGTCTTCATCAGCAGTGTATAATAAGTTTATATGTTTAGAAAATTCAAGCGATTCAGAGAAGAAACTTTTCAATTCAATATTGTTTGTCAGTCAACATTCTTAATGACAAAATTAATCGAAAATCAATTTATTTGTTATTTATTTGTTTGAATAGGCAATAATGAAATGTTTTATTTTTTACTATGATTCTAAACTTGAATCTTTCAATTAATTGTATTTTATATTACACATCATATGTGAAAATACTAGTTGAGTCAATTCAGCCTAATTTTTGAATTGAATTACAATAGTTATATAAAATTAAGATATTCATTTTTGAAGAATATACATTAGAATTTCAAATAGAATTCGATAAATATTTCTGTTGTTAAATGTAAAATCTATGTAAATAATAAGACATGTCATAAATATATATATGTATTTAGGTTCTTCTTCGAACTACTGAATCTAATGAAAATACTGAAGAAAAACTCAATAGCGATTTAAAAAAATATATCAATAAATTTCGATATGATTTCAGTAATGCCAAATTAAATAATAAACGTTTACATGTTCCAGCTGATGTTCTTATCAATCGTATTGATAAACAGATACAAGCACATAAACGTTTAATTGCTTTTTTAAATATTGAAACTGAATGTGCAGAAGTTCGTATTCGAACACTTGATGCAATTATACAAGATTTAGATAACTTACATGAAAAAACAGATGAAACTGATCTTCATTTTGTTCGCACAAAACATATTGATTATTTAAATAAATATAAAAAACTTGAAAGACAATATACAATGGATAAATCATTACAATATCCATTATATCATGATTTACAAGAATGGAAAAACGAATTATCTAAACAAGAACAATTGATAATTGATGATCAATATAAATGTGAACTATTAGAAAATCATTTAGAACAAATTAATAATGAAATTTCTTCTATTAATTATGAAAATGAATTAATTTTAAAAGAAAATAATTTTTTAAATAAACAAATAGCTGATATTAAAAAAGTACCAACAATTACTGAGTATGCCTATACTATAGAACAAACAAAAAAATTAAAACATGAAATTGATATTTGGACACAAAGAGTAAATATTGCTCAAGTAAGTTTTCATATATATATAAAATCAAGTTTCTTTTTTGTGAAACATGATCGAAATGTGTACTGAAATATATATAAGAGAAAAAATTTGCATCCTGCCACAGACAATGACAGATATTATTATGGAAACATAATCGACAGTAACAGATAGGACCAACAGACCATGACAGACATCTTAGCAATAAAATATCATGAACATGATTGACATCTTTAGCAGCATCTTTCTTTCATTATAGACCATGACAAATGTCTTAGCAATATCTTCTGTCCATCACCAATCGTGACAAGCACATTGCCAATCCTTTCTCACGTTCACATCATAGACTATGAGAGATCTTAATGATACATGATCAAAGACTATTTTGAATTTCTAGAGGATTAAGTAAAAGAATGATGAAGAAATATATCTGAAAATGAATGGAGTAAATCATCTCACAGTGATTAGCAACAACAACTACATCACATTTTACATTTTAATCCTGCAGGAATTGCACTAACAGCTTTTTTTTTTATTGACTATTATTCATAATTCTACTATATGGATACCTTTTCGTCTTTTCCGAAAGTTTTATAAATTTTCCAAACACATTGTTCTATGAAATATGAGAGCCATAGGGAGCCAAAAAAAAATTTATTTTCGCGTCGACTTCTTCCTCTTATTATGTTCGATTAAATTGGACATTTTTTGTTCTTTATATCTGTTTGCCTTTTGAATAAAAAGAAAGTCAAAGTACGACATATACCCTAACTTATTTGAAAAAAGTTTCAATCTGATCAGATATATCAGGTCTGAGAAATCTATGGTTGAGAAGCAATGGAACAAGTTTTTGTGGAAAAATTTAATCTCTAGAAAATTCTGTCAGAACAAAAACATATTTTTGTTGTCATATATAAAAGGTTCTATTGCTTCAATTTTTTTAAAGCTTTAAACCTATGTTGAAATTATCAAACTGTGTCCAATACACATTTGTAGGGTAGTTAAAAGTGAGAGAATTTTTTTTAGGCAAGGTACCGGAAACAAAACAAAAAAGAAAAATTTTGATTTTTACTTCATGTATGAGGATATTCTTAATCTATTCTATTGATCATCATAGTTGCTACATTTTATAGGTATGAACTATTATTAGAAATTATAATTGATGCAATAAGTGTTTTATTTTAATATATAAAAAAAATGTTGAAAATAAAGAAATATATTTTATACAAAAATTTGATTATATTTGATAAATAGATCTCTATGATTCTAAATAAATATTATTCTTTTATTTTCTACTAGACAATATTATCGCAATTGGAACGGCAAACAAAATCACCGAAAGTTCTGCCACCATTAAAGTACAATGGCGTTCATCAAGATTAATCATTTCCACTTCCAAATGAATAAGCCACACTTGTACGTCGTTGTTGTAATCCAATACCAGCTCCATTAGTATTTTCTTCAATAGGTCTTCCATCAGAATATTTTATTTTAAGTCCACTTGTTAATGTATATTGAACAAAAATAGGTCCTCGATTTTTTTCTTTAAGACTATTTAATGTATCTATATTCGTTGTAATTTGTATATCTTGATTATTAGAATTACGAAATTTAGCATTATTATTATTTGCAGATCGTTGTCGTGTTGTTTTATTAGGATTTGGAAAAATTACATCATTAATTTTATTAGATGGAATTTTATCAAATGTTTTCATTCGTTCATTAAGTAAACGTTGAGTTTTCGTTACTGTTGTTATATCAATGGGTGTTGATATTGATGGATGATTTTTTGACATAGCTGTAAGATTTTTTCTTGGTGATAAAATTTTATTTGTTGTTGATGCTGATGAACGTGTATTTGTTTTAGCTGATTTATTAGCACGTTGTTGTTGTTGTTGTTGTTGTTGATAAATATTTAATTGTTCTTGTAATTTTGCAAGACGTGATGGATGTGTTTTAGTTAAATTCATACGAAATAAATATGCTTTAAAACCTGCATAATAATTAACAAGTTTATCTTTAACTAATGTTGTTCGTGCTTCATCTAATGATGTAAAATCATTAACATTTGTTGATAAATATTTTTGTAATGAACGTACAATACGTGTTTGTAAATCAGAATTTGTTAAATCAAGACGACATGTAAAAGTATTTGATGTTGTATTTGATTCAAAATATGTTTCAAGTACATAACGTGTTTTTGCTTGTAACATTGAATCATTAGCGATTTCTTTTAAACGATTAACATCAATACAAAATAAAAAATCTTGATCTATGTATGGAGCTTTTTTTTGATCAACCCAATGTGTTAAATATGCATAAAAATAATAAAAACGTTCATTAAAACGACCCATAGCAGCATCGGATATTAATTGAAATAATTCTGCAATATGTTTTCTTGTTGCTTTTCCTGTACCATCACTATTAGATGCTAATGCTTCAACATCTGGATCAAATAATCCACCTGTGTCATCATCAATATGACCTCCTCGTTTACCATCATTTATATCATTAAATAATAATGTTAATTCATCATATGATTTTGATAGAAAATCATCAATTGAATCAATTTGAAATTCATTTATACGATTTCCACAATAACGAACAAATTCATCTTCGAATTCAGCACGTATATCACGATAAATACTTTGAATTAATGCTGGATCTGGACGACCACTATTTAAATCTAACATTTCAGTATGTTCATCATTTAATGGAAGAATATTTCGTTTTGATTGACTATCAAAATAAGTTTTTCTCATACGATCCATTTGTTGTTGTTTTTCATATGGATTTGTTGTTTCTAACCACTAAGAAGAAAAAAAAAACAAAAGAAATAAACAATATGAAATCATTTAATATTTTTCGTAGAAAGCAAAAAAATTTTTATCATATATTAAACAAGTACAAATAAAACTATTATAATATTCTGTCAATAAATATTTGAAAGCCTTCACAAGTATGAACCTAATGATCAAATTTCATGTTTAGTTTAACTAAAATTTTAAGAAATTATTTGACGAATGTAAAGCATTTTTACAGATGAAATATTGAGAATTCTAAAATTAAGATTAGTTACATGAAGTATTAAGTAACAGAAGATAGTTTTGGTACTCTAGAAACACGAATTTCTGACAATGAATATATGTAGGCATGTGATGACTACAGATTTAAGGGACCAAAATTTTTTGCTTCCAGATGAGATGGCTTCTATCCTAGTGACTTCGGTCTAAAGAGGACTACTCCAGAACTTATTTGTATAACGTTAATAGAAATTTCGTTAATACTTGTTTTTTCATTTACTTAGTCGATGTTTAGGATTCTTTTTTCGACGATAATTCATTTGAAACCATAGAATATTTAGCTATAGTTTTTTTTAGTTCCAATTGCTACAAATTTTTGCTGATAGTTCTAGTCCTGGTCTCAGTAAGTTCTCTTTCCCGTAGTTTCCATCACTGAGATCGACACTAAATCTGATTCTGTAAATTTCTCGGTATGACGCTCAAAAAAAAAAAAAAATTACTTTTACATAAGTTTAATTTCATAAATGAAAATACCTTAATAATATCAAAGATAAGACTAAGTTTTTGTTCAAATTTTGTTGGTGCTGTTTGACTTGATTTGAGATAACGTTGAAAATCGCTCAATAATAAATGTTGAGCATCTTTTGGTACTGTTGCTGTTTTACTAGGTAATATTCGATCAATATAAAATCCTAATTCACGTCGACGCATTTGTGCACTTTTTTCATTATTTAATGCATCTGCACCTGCTTTTTCATTTGCTTCTTTTTGTCGTCTTTCTCTTGCTGCTTTTAAAGCTTTTTTACGATTTTCTTCTATTTTACGTAAACGTTCAAGTCTTGCAGCACGTAAACGTTCTCGTTCTTCATCAGTCATAGCATTTTCTAATGCTTCAATAAAACGTTCTTGACGTTCAGTTGTTGCCGATGGTATATAACGATTTAACCATGGACGTTTGATATAAATCATATCATTCGAAATGTTAATTTGTGTCTGTGGAGAACGTTTTTGTTGAATTGCTTTTTTTAAAATTGGTTTCAATGGAGTTGGTTTATCTTCTTCTTCCTCTTCTTCTTCACTTTCATCATCATCTTCATCGTCACTTTCTTTAATCGAATGTGAAGGTGATGATGTTAAATAATAAGCTGTTGTAAAATGATTAACATCTTTTTCGATACAACGTAACCAAGTATCTTTTAATATAAGTAATGCTCGTTTATATAATGGTTCAAATGAAAGTTTATCGAATTTATATTCATGAAATGTTTCAACCCATTTATTTATTTGAACATCTGGCATAAATTGATCAAGAGATAATTTAGCTGAATTACCTAAAAGAAACAAAAAAACTTGAATGTTTGACAATTTCTTTTTTTTTTAAGATGTGGTGAATGCGAATATTCAAATAGCAACAATTTTGACTTTATTCATATGTATATAGTTGGATAGGGTTTTGACCTGCTGATGACAAATATGTGGGGTTTACGTTTTTATTTCAATTAGCTTTAAGGAAAGAAAATATAGAAATATTCGAAAAGTATAAAAATCGTTCATTTAGAAAATATTCAAAGACGTCTTTTTGTCTAATACTAAGTAGAACAAAATTACTCTAAAAGTCATCATCGTTACCAAACTTTTATAAAAGTGCATGGAAATTGTATTTTGTTTTGACTTTTGATTTAGAGCGAAAAAATTTAAATCTATTATTTAAGACATGATTCAGGTAATTATCTTTTCATATCTAGAAGTTGAACAAACAAAATCATGTATATATCCGATCAAAATTTCAGATATTCGATCAAGATTGTTTTTGAAATGAAACAAGATTTTTAAGCATTTTTTTTTTCAAATGTTTAATGAAGATGATGGATATCGAAATAATTTTGTCCTATATAGTAAGAGACAAAAAGATTTCTAGAGCTCTCTTTTGTTTGATGAAAGTTCAGAACTAGATAGTTGTTACCTTGTCGAGTTATCGAGATTATACCCACCATTCTTGAATCCTGATACGAAGATTAGTTCCTTTTTTGTATGAAGAGATGAAGATACGTGTCTTATTTCATGAGATATCTCGAAGATAAGGTTTAAAAGTATTCATTTGTAGTGTTTAAAAATTTGGTGTTATGAGTGTGAAAATGGAAGTTTTCGATCTAAAAGGCAAAATCCTACAAATATTCAGCCATTTTGACCAACTGAAAACAAAAGTATGAATGTTACATTGAAAATCAGCTTAAAAATCTGCATTGAGTCACATACATTTCATTAAAAAAAATGACGTACAGCAATCATACAAGTTAGTTTCTGATGGAAGATGTTTTTCAATGAAATGTATATGGTTCGATGCAAGTTTTCTTATCTAATCCCAAATATGAAGTTCATGTCACTATTTTCTGATAGTTTGGTCACCAAAATATTGTCGAAGAAGAAAAAGATATGACTTGAAAAGCTTTGGTAATAAAACTGTTAAAAAATTTGAATCTTTTCCAAATGAACAATTTTTATTTCCCTTGTGCATTTTCGAATTTTCTACCTTAATAAAAAATCGAAAAAAATCCTAAATCAAGATATTCATGATCAACATGTGAGATTCTATTCAAGGACGCAAAAAAACAAAACAAAATTCGTTCTTATTCGAATTTTATATTAATCATGTCTTACCAAAATAAGTATTTAAAATTGATAAACCATGTTGACTTTCAAGAATTTTATCATCAATATTTGAATAACGAAAATCATCAACATCATAACAGAAAAGCATTAATGGTAATAATTGACGTTCATTTTCTGTAACATAACGAAGAAAAAGTCCGCCAGCATGTTTATCTTGTCGAATAATTGTTGCATATTTTTTCATAAATTTATTATCAAACGAATTTTCAATTTCATCTTCCATATCTTGATTATTTTTATTTAAAATAATATTTTCATTTGTTGTATAATCCGTTGAAATAAAGACACGTGTCATTTCGATAAAATTTGTTTGTGTACGTTGGTCAATTGGATAAAGACAAACATCTGCTGGTCGATTTAATTCAATTGGAAAATATAATTGTGAATGACGTTGTTCAAATAATTGATGAATTATAAATCTTGCTGACCAATATACACGTAAACGACGTAAAACATCATATTGTACTTGAATAAAAACTTCATGTGATAATGAACCAGCTGTATCCGCATAAGCACGACGAATTTTATTTTGTAAATGACGCATAAATGGTAAATGATATTTACCATCATTTAAATCACGAAATAGACGTGTACGTGCAACAACATTTGGAATATTATCAAGAGAAACCATTGTGTCTTTAAAAAATTCACAATCCATCCAAAACCGATAAAGTTCATAGCCGCCTTTAGTTGATTGAAGAAAACGAACAAATGATTGCATACCTTGGAATGAACCTAAAAATAAAATCGATTAAGAATATATTGATGACTTCTTTTTAGATTCACATCAATCCTCTAGTTTTCTTATCTATACATTTAGATGTTTTCGAACAGTAAAATAATAAAATTGTATTTATAATAGGCAATAGATAAGAAATTTGATTTGTTTTTTAGTTTTTATAGAGCTATAAAAATGTATCGAACGAAATTCACGATTTCAACTATCATGATACGAAGCCTAATTGTGGTAAAACAATTCGAGTCGAAATTTTTTTTATGCCATTGAAATGCATAGATCTCAAGATATCTCCATATCACATGACTTTCTTTCCTTCGACAAACATTTTAATGCTTGCATGAATTAGGCGTACATTTAAAGTAGCTCATACTCTGAACGTATAAAAATCATATGAATGAGTACACTTGAAACGATTAACTAGAATAAAATAATAAAAACTTTTCTGCTTAAGATGAAAGAGTGCTCATTGACATTGAGAGTGTTTAAAATTTTGAACGTGAAACTGAAGAATAACACTAAAAAAATACCTATAACATGTAATTAAATTAGTTTCTAGAATTATAGATTGTGTTTTTATCGTTGTGATAGATAACGGGATGTAATAGAGTATTACAGTCAGTAGCTTGCAATGTTTTTGATAAAATATTTCAATTGTAATTATCGTAACACGCTTGACGAAGAATTCAAGTGTGTGAATAAAGATGTTGAGTGATGAAATAAGAAATTCAAAGAATAGATTTCAATCTTTTAGAATCTATTGTTTCTCTTTTAATTGAATCTAGGAAATAAATTATCTTTGTTCTGTCCGTCTTTTAATAAAAGATTTGATTTAAAAGTACTTTTCAAATATGAATAAGTATGAGTATGTTACTGGTACTCGGACAGAGATCGAATGAATACATTCAAACGAGTCATATACAAAATTCAATTATAAGGCTTCAAATTAAGAAAAAATCACTAGTAAAAAATAAAGATGTCTCGTATAACCAATTCAATCTACTGATGGTATCAGTTTTCGACTTAGACATGTTCATGTCTTTTACAGATATCCTTCATAGTAGTCGAGACAACTTGTATTTGCTTAGCTCTGGTGTTTTCTACATTTTATAAAACTTACCTAGATATTTATACTTCAGTTGATTACTTGAACTTTGTATTTCTAATCCCAAATCTCCTACATCATTATTTTCTTCTTCATTTTCAGCTTCTTCAAAATATTTCATTTTAGCACTACTATACATTGATAAACTTCTTGGATCATTTGGATCCTCTGATGAAGTATTTTCATCATCTTTTGGTAATGATTTTCTTTGACTTGTCTTAGAACTTGATGATCTTTTCGACATTTTCGTCGGATATTTTGTAGGTATACTTGGAAAAAATATTGAAAGAGAACTAACTAAAATAAATTTATAATAAAAAAATTAAATAAATAATAAATCAATTAGTCTTACCCATATTAGCTGGTACAGAATAAGCTCGACTACCTGGTCTTAAAAATGCTTTTGGCATACGTAAAAGTTCTGAAACCATAATATTATTTTCAAATATCATATTTGCATTTGTAAATGGTTCATTTTGATCAAAATCTTGTTGTTCTTCATCTTCTTCAAGTGTTGCTGTTTGTGCCATTCCATGTCCAGTTGAATTATCTGTTGAAAGTGTTCGAGCAGCTGTATAAACACTTCTACAGAAAAAAAAAATAAATAAACAAGAAAAAAAATTGAAAGGAATCCTGATTGTTTGTTTTAAAATAATATTAAATAAAACTTACTGTCGACTATAACCACCAATACCTTGACTAGAATATTCTGATGGTTCATTTTCATTAGTTAATGGTCGTAATAAAAGTTTACATAGTTTATATTGTCGATAAAGTTCTGTACGCCAAAAAAGAACTAATCGTTCATTTTTAACCCATTCCATTATTTGTGCTTGACGAGTTTTTTGTGCATTTGAATTATTATTATGTGTTAATTCAGGTATATCATCTAATTGTATTATATCCGAAAAACCACTATAAATACTGTTAGTATCCATTTCATTGATTTTTTTTTCATTATTATTGGACGATTTTTCATCATTTATATTTAATATTTTATCTTGAGTTCTTTCAATAAATGTATTTAATTCACGATTATATTCAATTTTTTGTACAAATGTACCCAAACGAAGAAATTCATTAAAATATTCAACAAATATATCATCTAATGAAAGTAGTTCATCAAATTCATGTATAGTACATGAATCGGCAAAAGATGCAGACGGCTGTTCGGGCATGTTGAATTGTTGGCGTGCAATGCGATGATGTTTACTTTTCTATCGAACGGAACAACGAGTGTGCGCAAAGAAGAAATCAAACATATATATATATATATATATATTCTTTTTTTTATGTTTCATCTCATCATGAGGTGAGTGTTTGACTTCGATTGGCATGAGAACGACAGCATAAAAGGAAAGAGAACAAAAGTCGTTGCCGTTGCTACTTAACTGATGAGAGATTATGGACATCATTCTGCTGACTCAATAGCAATCATATTATAATAAAAAAATACAAAAAAAAAAGAGAAAAAAGAAGTTTATAACCATTCAAGACAGACAATTTGCTTTTTATTATCAATACGTCTATTTTATGATGGAATATTGATAACAATAGAATCTTGTCGTTGTTTTTCTTCTAATTGATAACTAACTGTATGTAAACCTATTGATATGCCTGATAAGTGACGTTTTAACAATGGTATTAATTCATGACTTCGTCTTAACTGCATAGCTAATATATGACGTTTATGCCTATGAAACCATACATGAACACCTGATCTACTACTCATATTTGGATCGTTAATATCAAAATCAAGTACTGTTGTTAAACATTCCGTTTGTTTAGGTTTATTATGTTTACCACCACCAATAATTCTATGAGCTTGTCTTTGATCAGCTTTTGATAATTGACTCCAATGTATATGAAGTACACAATTTTGGCTAGTTTTATTAGTATTTATATTTTCCATAGTACTATGAACTTGATTTCGAACAACTTCTGCTTGTCCAGCTGGACAAAAAGCACCCATTAAACGCCAAGGTAAACCAAGTAAAACTGGATCTAATATTGGATTAAATGCAATTGATACTGTTGCTAAATCGGCACACATACATACCATACTTCCGCCAAGACTAGCTCCAATTAAAATAACATGTTGATAAAGTGTAGAATATATTTGTATTAAATTACGATAATATGTTAAACCTTGCCATCGATAATTTGGATCTTGTAAATAAAAACATTGTGCTGGATCTGTAAAAAACAATGCATCAAATTCATCGTCTGTATCACGATGTACTTCTCTCATTGAGCCACGCCATTCTGTTGTTCGTACACCACCAACAATCATTGCAGCACCAGCAAAACTCATATATAATGTTGGAGAACGATGTGTACATAATAAATTAGGTTCGATGTGTGCAGCAGACTCTTTCGTATGACACTGACATTTACTATTAGCTGGACAATACGTTTGCCGTCTTTTTTCAAGATGATCAAAACGTATGCGTGTAAAAGCAGAGAATTTCGATAGAAAATATCCATGACCACGATGTCGTTTTATAAAAATGTATAATAAACTTAAAATAATGGCAATAATTACAGGGACTATTAGAAAAAAAAACCACTTCCATTGATACATTTTTTCTTTTGTTGTCAACAATAAAATATGTAACTAGATAAGCGTATACTTTATGTAAGTATATAGATGAGAAAATAGTTATTTACATTGGTAAATATACCTTTGCAATCTATATGATATTGAGAGTCACGCTTGATTGTACATGTATCAATTTCTGATATGATGCATGTATCATTTGATAATAATGCTTCGAGAAAAAGGACGAAGTCTATAAAGGTAAATACGTCATCTTATTATTAGAAAGAGATGAATAATATGTAAAAGGCATAAAATATGAGAAAAACACCTATTCAGAAGAAAAAACATTTATACATAAAAATCAAACTAATGACGCATGTCTTGAATATATTGTGTAGGTTTATATTTTATTGGACGTGACTTCGGATGTTACGCAGTGAAAACTCAACTTGATGTAATATGTATAACATCAAACAATGATTAAGATTGGTTGAAATTGAAATTGATTGTAGAAAAAAATTAAGAAAGAAGACCAGAATGTGGTAATTTGCATGGTTATCTTAAAACAATACAATTGTCACAACAAATGTTCAAATTGACTGACTTTTTATAGGTATGGCCTGCTGATGATAGACAAGCCACCTTTTTTTCCGTGTCCGTCATGGTCTATAGATTTTTACTACGTTGGTTTCATAATAATATATAAAACAAATCAGAAGGTAGTCTTCATTAATAGGGAAAGGAATCATTGAAACCCACGTAAAATACTTAGATAAGATAATTATCAAATCAATACACAACATATCTACAGAGAGTAGTCCACTAGAAAACGTTAACATTTGACAGGAAAAAAAACCATTCTTGTTTCTCATCAAGAATTTTTTGAATAAATTTGACCAGTTAGTTGAATAAGACATATCAATATGAGATATTTTACAAGAACAGAAATTTATAGAGAAAGAAACAGTGCAAAGTTTGTTCTAGATAATAATCATATTCTGTACAAAGAAAAAAAAAATACAGTGACTTAACGACACACATGAAAAAATATGATGAGTAAGCTACCAATGAAAAACCTGATCATGTATCACTATTAGTCATGTTTATGCCCAATAAACGTAAACGGGTGACAAAGAAAGAATGACGATATTAAGATGTGAGAAATATCTCTTGCAGCCTCATAGTTTAAACTACGTTGTTTTGTTTTGTTTTTAGAAAAATATCTTTTTTTGATTGTTTAGAAAGATATATGAACGGAGTTGTATAATCAAATGTAATCGTAACAGCACTTGTGGGGAAAAAACGGATATGCTTGAAAAGTATCTTTTTTTTTTCTAATATATATTGACACAATAATAATTTGTTTTCTCCGCCTCATTCATCAGAGCTTAAAGTATTATGATACTTATTCCCTTCTGTTTTCAAGTATTTTCTTTCTCACAACAATCAAAACAAGTCGATTGAAAAATAGTATGAGATTGAAGGAATGATTTGTCTTGACGAACAAGCTAAATTGATGGAGAAATTCTCTTTTTACGCATAAAACGTAACTAAAATGAATCGTATATGGATTAGATCATTAAGTAATACTGTTAAAAAAAGAAAGCATGTTTCTTCGAACTGATAAATATTTGAATAGAAAATGTTACCTTTTTTCTCTAATTACATGAAAATTTCGAAAAAGTCTCACAGTCGATTCTAAATACCTAAATATAAGGAAAAAAAAATGAGAAAGAATTTGTTTAGACATGTAAAAAAAAATCTGATTGTAATAGAATTTTTGTAATTCAAAATCTATAATAATGTCACAATTATAGTTTTAATTTAATCAGATTTAAAATAAAAAAATCAGTTTGAATAGATTTTTTTTAATTAACATATTATAATTAATTTTTTATAATTTTAAATCTGATTTAATTACGATTATAATAGTGCCATTATAAAAAGTTTCTAATTACGAATAAAATCTATCACAATCGATTTTTAATCACGTCGAAAACGATCATAACTGAATTTCTTCCACTTCTTGTCCATTTATACATGTTTATGTAGTATTACCTCTTAATCTGTTATAATCTATTATAACCTTTTAATCTATTTTAATTGTACGTATCGAAGATAAGTTGTTTCCTTCAGATTTGAACAAGAAATCCATAATTTTCTATGAATATTTTGATTGCTCGTGTTCACAAACTAAAAAGTTGCTACTGAACCGAAGTCACACAAATGTAGTAAATCTCGAACTTCTATATAAATTGTTTCAACTTGAGATGGTTTAATTACAATAGAAATCGATGAGAATAAAAAAATTAATTAATATTGATTACATTTTTAATTGATTATTTAGATTACATGCGGTAAAATGGTTTTAATTAATTATTACCTGAAAAAAATCATTTTAATGGATTATTCTATTGAATTTAATCAAAATGTAGTGTATTTATTCGGATTTTTGCGAGAAAATTAATTTCAATCTGATTTTTTGATCATGTTTTACATGGTTATGCGTGTTTCAAAACCAAAATATTTTTAACATAGGTCACCTTATAGGACTTTCCAAAAACTACTATACTTCATTGTCTGTCTTTCTAAATATAGTCCAATTGTGACGTGAAATACAGAAAACCATAAGAAACATTTTGATAAAATGTGCTTTCAGAGCATAATAGTATTCACGTCATAAGCTTTGGTGATTACATTTTGTAGCAATATCTTTCACATATCTTTGTAGACGCTAACAGTTTTTATGCGCCATTTGTTATATTCAAAGTGATTTTTCAGATTCAGCGATACAAATAGCCAACTATATCGATTAATAACCATATCCCCCGCTCAAAGCAGGAATTTTGTGTTTAAAATTTTATAAAAATATTAGAAACAAACGGTCTATCTGACTTGTTTGGGTCTCTGGTACACAATATTAATATATATACATATAATTATTTATTTGTCAATATTACAATCGATGTTCTCACATAGTGTCGAAAAAATTCGTTTTTCACTAATACCTTTAGTATATAGAATCTTGATATTAAAAGATTATAGTTTGAAATCATTGTCAATGATGTGATTATAAATTTTGTTCATATGTTTTCGTTCTCAGTGTTAATCAGTTTTACAATAAATAAACTCATTTCTTCTTACGAATGTTTTACAATAACTTTCATGAAATCTTGATATTTTTTGCTTTGAATTATTGAGCGTAAAAGTAATTATTTGCATGTTCAAATGTAAAGAATTTCAATTTCTACAAAACTATCAATTCTATATTTTCAAACAAGTTTCTCTTGTTGATATCAAACTGGAAGTATTTATATCTACACAATCATTCAACTGTAATTTTTTATCTATTGGTTAACAATTTGAGGGTCAAATTTTGGATGGACGATTTGACTTCAGGTTATGAGTGTGAGTGTGCAGGTGTGGATGTGGGAGGAGTGTGGATGTGGAAGGAGTGTGGATGTGGGAGGAGTGTGGATATGGGAGGAGTGTGGATATGGGAGGAGTGTGGATGTGGATATATGTCTTGTCTTCAACCATGGTTACACTCAAAGCGACATCCGCAAACCTACGCCTGCAGACACAGCCACACTCATACATCTCACCTTACACTCATACCGAGAAATTAGTCATATCTATGCAGTATTATCGTTCTTTCTACCAGAATCATTTTTCCTAATTTATTACAGGTCTGTGGCTAAAAAAAAAGTGGTACATATATGTATCACTGGCCATCAAAGGGTTAAATTTAGAAATATGCAGGGTATCCTAGTTTTTCCTGCACATATCTACACAAATTAAATGATTTTTATAATAAAGTTTTATTGATCAAAGGAAAAGTTAAAACGCCATTATTTAACGCAAATAAATAACAGCTTTCATGATCCACACTTTGACAACTTCTTCAAGATTCCTGATGATACAACTCGATGGAGAAAAAAGTTCCACACTAACAGATATCTTTTTTTTTCGATACATTTGTTCATTTTGTTTTTTTTCGGTGCCATAATAGGAAGACTCAATAGACGTAAAGGCTCTACAATTGGTACAAACAAGGCAAATTTGTTTGACAAGTGATGACATTATTATTGGAGAGCTTGAAATTCTCTATTTTTTGGGTGCATGGTAAAAGCCATTTTCGACGCCTCGAAAATAAAAAAACACTCCATAATTTAGTATAATGTCTACTAATACGCCTATGACTATAATGATTTAAAATAATCAATAAAATTCATTTTCATCTTAGATTTTTTTTCTTTAATCAATCAGTAGTTTACTTGCCTCGACATAGTATTTGACACATGAATTCTTCTATTATTTTTCGATATGCTAATTAAAAAAAAATATGATTATATACTTTATATTATACAAGTATTATTTCTACGAAAACAGTTTCGAGATCTTTCAAAACAAAAATATGAAAACGACTTTTTTTTTTTCTTTTACTTTAAATAACAGTATTAAAAAAATTAAATAGAATTCATTGTTCTGTAATAAATAACAAGTAAACAAATCAACATTCTTTCTACCTAAAAATTACTCTCGATTGACAACAAACGTATTAAGGATATTAAAATTTTTACGTCCTTATTCACTTATACTATCTAGTTACTTTGTTTGTACAAGCAAAAGTTATTAACAACCGTGCTTTTCATGCGTTTATTTTTTTTTCATTTTGTTTCTTCATCGTTATTCGTTAAAACTTTAAGACATGAAAGTACGGTTTGCCAAGCACTTAAAAACGTAAAAAATGAATGCTGAATAAACACATA